AAAAAAAAAAAAACCTCCATGCACTTAAAAAAGTGGAACACAGGAGAGTAAGCCTTTTGTGAAAAATACAGAAACTAAAAGTTACTTTCATTCTCTTTGCACAAGTTTCTCACAACTTGCATCAAAGTCACTCTGGCCAGGTACCTTTTTGTTTGTACTCCTTTTCCGGCATACCGTATTTACTTAAATACAAGGAGGTGGTATCTCACCCTCGGGCCCCCCACAATCAGCATGGGGAATAAAGCTACTGCATACAAAGCCAAGGTGGGGAGCAGGTGGCTGCTGAGGTTCTGAGTCTGGCCCTGAGCCCATGTCAGGGCCAGAGTCAGACCCTCAGCAGCCTCCTGCCCTTCCTCTGCAGCTTCTGCTTCCTCCCCCCCGTCCCCAGCTTCTGCTTCCCTGCTCACCCTTACTTACAGGGGGCCAGGGTTGAAAGGGAGGCTGAGACGGGGGGAGCAGGAAGGCTCCAGAGTGAAGAAGTGGGTGGGGCAGAGGGCACCTGACACCCCCTCCAGCCATTGCTTTCCCTGCTGTAGCAGTTGGGGAAGGTGGGGAATTCAAGATACCCTCCAATACTTAGACTCTATACCTGGAAAATTACAATAAGTTTATACAATTTTCCGTATATAGAATCTAATTATTGGGAGTCATCTTATATTCATGTAAATACGGTATTTATTTATATTATGACAGATGAATATATGATAGACTAATTATGCCATGTAAATATATACTTGGTGCATCTACATGTGCAGTTAGCACATAGCAATAAACTCTTGAGCATTTTGAGCCAGAGTCAGCTGCTCCTGGGTGCAGGGTCTTCACATGTGTTTAAGTCAGGACAGAACAGCCCCAGGCTCTTGGTGGCAGCAGCAAAGGGGCTGGCTAGGGCACAAAGGTGCTATAATATGGGGCTAGCTGGCAGGCAGCCCCCACACTGTAGTACCTTTGTGCCCCAGCCAGCACTGGTCACTGTCTACATGTACATTTTGGTGCACTAAATGACTTCATTGTAGGATAGTACTCAGAGTTAATTTACTGCACCTTAATATGTGTGCACATGTAGACAGTGACACTTTACTGTGGAGCTAACTAGTCAGCTCCACATTAAAGTGCACATGTAGATGCACCCACTGACATGTTATGATACCTTAAATTTTACCTACTGAATCTGTACAATATTTCATATGTCAGTGAGTAAGGAAAAGTTCCTTATTCAACTTGTAAAATATTTACTTTTCTTAAAATGTCAATAGCTATTCACTTGCATTATGAATCAGCCACCCAAATTAATACTGTTTTCGAATAATAAAGAGGGCCAAAAAGCCACTAAAATGTTCATGCATTTTAGGGGCACGAAAGGGAGTTCTCTTTGTTTTCCTAATTTGCTTGTTAAATATTAAGAAGAAAGTAAAATCCTCCAAGATGCTTAAATAACAATAGGATAAGTGAAGTATAAGACTTTAGATAGAATAGAATAGACCAGCATGCCAACATTGAGCTCACACGTTAATATTTATGGATAAAACAGAAAGATCATCCCTAAATATTTTATGAATACAAATATACCAAGAGGCAAGGGTCATTTTTAAAAAACAAAATAAAAATAGAATGTACATTGCAAATATCTTCTCAAAACTTCATAATGGATATTTTTAAATATATAAGGCTGAAGACATTCCCATCTTACTCTAGCTGCTTTAATCTTTTTATCCTATAAACCCCAACTAAGCATACTAGGCCACTTATTTTTTCAGATGTCAATTCTCACCTGTTTCAGGGTCACTGAAGTCTGGTAAGGTAATAGTATTAAGCTGTCGTCTATCAGCAATAGCTCTGTCTAATAAACTGCTCCCACGTCCAGAATCACTGTAATATAGTATTTAAATGGTAAGTTACATAAAATGTAAAATTGTATACTGTGAAACGACTTGTAAAGTGTCCCTCCAAGAGTTTTTGTCAAAAATGTGAATACCTGACAGCCAAGTTCAGTATTAAATAACTCCCCTCATTCATGAACAGCTATATTAAAATAAAACAATTAAACCCAGATTAAAATTTGGGTCATCTTAATTCTTCTTTCATGACACAAGCAGTAAAGGTGCACAAGATGCTAGGGGTGCATTGATAAAAGAATTTCTTGGCTGATAGTAAAAGCCAAATATTAACCAGCCATATTGGCTGATGCTGATCCGATAACCAATTTACAGAAATGCAGCCAATTAACAGGGCAGTGTGAAAAACAGTGCCCTGCAAGTAAGTCTGTGGAAGGGAAGGGGCAAGGGGGGGGGGGGGG